GATCTGCAAAGATTACATCATTTTGTCAATTAAATTAACTAATCGACTTCTATACTATCTATAGGTCAATCTATATACGATTATTGTATAATCACTGAAGAGCGTAAAGAATATCTTTGGTCTTCAAAAAATTATTCCAGTGTATCTCATCATACTGGTCAATTTCTTGGTGAAGAAATTATTAATGTTGTTGAAGATATTGATCCTGAAAAAATAGCCGCAATTGTATCTGATAATGCAGCTAATGTTCGTGTTGCATGAAGAACTTTGTGTGAGAAATATCCGCATATTTTGGATATTAGATGCATAGCGCATTGTATTAATTTAATTACAGAAGACTTGTGCAAACATACATTTGTAAAAAATGTAGTTTGGAAAATAGGTATTATCCATCAATATTTTACAAAATCACATGCCGCATGTCAATTTTTGAAAGATGCAATTAAAATATTGAAGATTAAAGGTGGCGATTTAAAGGATCATACAAAAACACGTTGGTCTACAATGTGGGATTGTATAAACTCAATTGTACGACTTGAATTTGCTTTTGTAAGAGTAAGTATTAATTTTATTTTATTTTTGTGCGATGGGTTATGCCGTATCAAAACTTAGTTATAACTTGCTGTAGTGTGTGCTATCATTATAACTTATGTCGTAACTAATATATGTATGAATGGGCAACTTGAATTATATGATTCTGTTGTGGTAAAATTCTTGTGAAACAAATTCAAATAAATTAAAAAAAATATGAGTGCTGTCATATCGATATGAGTGCTGCCGATTAAAACTTGTAAGTAGAAATTGGGCTTTTTTCAACATATGAAATTACTTGAATTATCCATTATATAATTTATAAATGTATCTATTTGTTACCTGTGACATTTATAGCGACTTCAGGTTTTAATTTGAAAGCACTCAAATATTTAGAGATAGTCACCTATGACAAATGACTATTATTTATTACGTTTTAAAAATGTAATCTAGAAAGTAAATTTTAAACCAGGTTGGAGTAATATAGTCATGGCGCAAAAATTTGTCAGCTCCGTGACTTCTATTCAATCCGATTCTAAGGTCAGTGTGTAATATACAAATATAAACCAGCTTTCTGGATATATTGCTTCTATTTTGTATTAGCGCAAATATTAATATTTAGACAACAATTGGAATAGCATCGTTATCAGGACTGACAAGTTTTTGCGCTATGACTGTAATATTCGCCAAGTTGCATCTTGCCATTACGCAAAAATTAGATAAGTAACTAAACTTGCCTATCTCAATTTAATATACAGCTATAAGTTACGATATAGTTACATAATACACTATTAAACTATAATTTATTAATTACAAGGGATATGATTTTTGATCACAAGTTGTTGTAGGCTGCAAAATCTATTGCCTGTATCTTTACTCTAATACGTATACCTTTTTACCCTAACGCTAACTCTAATTAATTTCTATATTTGTATAGGTTCTTTCGGAACATGAGAATGATCTTAAACCTCGAATTAAGGACATTCTTTGTGATCGAATTTTTTATGAAGATTGTCGGCTTATTGTGTCTATTCTTCATCCTCTCAAAATTTCTGTTGGATGTCTAGAATCGAGAACCTCTAATCTCGCTGATTGCTATGTCCATTTAGTATCATTAGCTAATGCAATTTTTCGTGTACCAAATCAAAATATAGCATTTAAAAATTATTGTATTGAGAAATTTAATCGTCGTTGGGACGAATTTTCTAATAACATCTATATTTTGACTTTTTTTTTACATCCGCGATATCATGGTAATTAATATATATTTTATATATATATAATAAAAACTTTATTTAATAACAATATACATTTTTAGGTA